TGAGAGGTCCCGCCTTACATCTTCCGCCACAGATTTGGGGAAATTGGTCCGTGCGCAAAGCATTGTGGGGATTTTAAGACCGCGAAGTCTACTCATGTGCAGCCTCGATATTTCTCCAAACGGAGTACGCCGGGCTCGGTAGATTTCCAAGTATGCTGGAGATTGGAACAGTACTTCGGCGGCACTCGATGACGTAGTATGCTTGAAATAGTGGCTCTGAAGCAGCTTTACTCACGATTGAGAAACACCCAATGACTGTAGAACAACTGATTAAAGTGTGCAATGAACTGGAGATTTCAGGACCGGATAATGAGCATGTGACTGGTAAATCTCGCAGTCAATGAATTTCTCATGTCACAAAGCATAATGAACGTGAAGAAATGGCCGACCTAGAGGATGAAGGCATGTCCGAACTTCTTAATGTGCAGGATATCATAGACAAAGCCCAAATTGCAACAAATGTACATGACAGTGAAATCTTAAATCAAAGTGTCAAAAGGGAAAATCTCCAGAAGGAGGTAGAGACGCTAAGGTTGTCATTACAAGAAAACGAAAATGCAATGCATGACCTAATGAACACAAGCATGAACCACCCTGCCGGGTCCAGCACCCCAGCAAAAAATCTTGCCCAAGCACTCCCCAGTAGCTCTATGTGGCGCAAAGATCTTAAGATCGCAGGCCAAATAGGCGAGCCAGGACATTTTCTAGTCTGGCCAGACAAATTGAAAATGGGTTTAGTAAGGGCTACCCAGAGTCAGAGATCATTGATGCTGTAATCCGTGCCATCACACCAGGCCTACAGTTATGGAGTTACCTTGAAGGGAAGGAAAACCTTACACTGCCTGCCCTTCGCCGAATTCTCAGATCTCGTTACCAGGAGAAAGGTGCCACAGAGTTATACAAACAACTCACCTCTGAGGTTCTGGGGCCTCATTTATAAAGCCTTGCGTAGGATTGACGTGGGAAGGTTGCTTACGTAGGACAATGCAAATAAATACGCACAGACATTTTCCGATTCATAAAAGACTACGTACCGGCACAGGACTTGCGTACGGCACATCCTACGCCGGTTTACCTTTATAAATCACAATCAACTCGAAATGCGGCGTAGCTTTTGCGGGCTTCACGTAACGCCCATATTTGCCTATAAATAGTCAAAGAAACGCCCATTCATTCATTCATTTTGACTGACTCCATGAAGACGATCGCAGGAAATGAGGACAGAACAGCTAAAAAAGACATCTCTCACCGTGTCAGATTTTGGTTATTTTGGGGAGGTCGAGATAAATCATATTGTTTGGTGGATGCAGTTTGAACCAGAGTAGCAGCATGGAGGCATCGTCACCAAAAATAAATAAATAAGTCTCAGAGTCTCAAACAGGCGTTTGTTTAATCATTTTAAGATTGGCTTTAATCAATTTGTGAAAATGAATTCTTCATATTTGATAAATGAGAGGTAACATTTTATTTATGGTATTATTTCCACATATTTCTCTCCATTCTTCCTTCTGCCAACGGTGTCGCAGTTTCTCGTCTCTCCCGTTTTTGTGCTTAGTGCGTACGCATGGGTCAGAGTTTGCGTGGAGGGCCGCACATTTTCCCGTCAAGTTTGTTTTTTATAAATCGCAAACATTGCGTAGAAACTGGCGTACGCCATCTTTTGAGCGTACGCACCGTTTATAAATGAAGCCCCTGAGGAGAAACAAGGACATTGAACGACGATGGGTGTTGGAGAAATACTGTTTTCTCCACTCTTTGGGTTTGTTTTAATGCACTGATATCATGTGCGGCTCTGAACTGTGTACGACCTTGCAGCTGCCTCTTTATGATAGGAGGAGGCAGGGCATTTCAGGTTGTTGATCTTTATGAGGAGACAGGCACATACTTGTTGTCTCCTACATTATCTCACAACTGCTGGAAGTCCAGAAGACGTCACAGGTGACCCGTCGCAGATGACCCGACTTTCCGACACCCGCGGCTGATATTAGCGCCACCTCGATTTACGACTTTGTTGTTATCTCCTGTGTTTTGGACTATATAAGCCTGATGTTTTTTCCTGCTCCGTTGAGCAACATACCCCATGTGTGTGAGTTAAACCATATCCTTTGTATGTGATTTAACTCTGCTCCTTCTTGCAAGAATAAACTAGAACCTGATTATTGATTCTCAACCTGGTGTCGAGTGATATTTTCCTAACAATGGGTATTTACCCATGTCTGAAAAAATTTATGAAAAGAGTTCCAGACTGTCACATTGCACTTTATAGGTAAATGTAGCAAACATTTTTAGCCTGAAATAATGCATATTGTGTTTATTATGGTATACAGTTTAACCCTTAATTGCACTAAAGGCCGCTAGAGGTCAAAGTTTTAGGATGTTGGGGACAACATCTATTTTGAAGGGGAGTATTCTGAGAGATAGATGTATCCTGCTGTATGGGTTGATTGTGCGTTGATCTGTTGGTAATGCCTTGGGGTTCCGGTGGGAGGGATCACTGCGCTCCTCCCCTCTCGATTCAGACGAGTGAAGGCGGGAGCTGCGTGATTTTATGTCTTCACTTCTCTCACTCACTATTTCCCTTTTTAAGGGTACAACACTAAGAAGCTTATAAACATCAGGTTTAAAACTAAAAGAGCTTTACAAAAAAGTAACACAATGAAAGGTGTTTGGAGTTTTATTTTAGTTATTAATTTTTATTTTTTGTCTAAGAGATGCTGATTTGAAACCGTTGTTACATACAGTTATGGCATTTCCTGTTTCTGGCGGAAAACAGAAACAGGTTTCAGCGAATACAGCGAATACAGCGGTTTCAGTAAATACAGCGGCAAGCTTGTATTTACTCCCTCCATCTGACAGGAGGGAGCCTCGTTGAGCTGCGAGTGTCACTCCACGGAGTTCACTCCGTCACGGAGGGGTAGTGTGTAGGGGTAGGGTGTAGGGCGTGGTTTGGGATTGGGCCTCAATCACTACCAAACCTTTTTTACCACAAAAAGTTGGACACAGGAAGAGGAGGGACTTGACCTCCCTATGGACCATTTTCCTACGTGCACCTTTTAACTAGGGCTGCATCTCACTTCGGTTATTTTTCATTTCCTCGCTCCTCGGTCTCGGTATCACCGGAAGTTGATTTGTCTGCGCCATCTTGAGTAACGTCCCAGTGGCCTTATTTGTGCCGGAGGATCGAGGATCGAGGAGCGATAACGGAGGAGCACTAATCGAGGAACCACCAGACCATCCTCCAGTGAAATCCTCAGACACTCGCCCCGCCCCTTTACTGTGTATCTCTCACCGATTGGACGATGCAGCGCATGCACTCTGTTGCTTCTTGACATGAGAGCAGTTTCCCAGCGGAGTGAAGAAAACACATGAAACTCACGGGACTCACTCAGTTTATAGTGTTTTGTTTCTATTAATGTATCATTCAGTTACAAATATGTGATATATCTGAACAATAAAGTGGACAAAAATCTTTTTATTCATTTATTGGAAACATTTTCATGATCGCTTTTTTAGTTTTACATTTTCATTTGCCATTTCCATTCAGTCAGTCATTAAGTACTATTAAAATGTTAATTTGCTACATATCCACACAAACAAACAAAGTGTGCAATCCAATGAATGTTAATCTAACTGGGTTTTGATAGATAACATCTCTTTTTCTTCTCTCAATTATTTTATTTATTTTGTGCACTCTAATCAATATTAATCAAACTATTAATTATTCGTTTATACATTTTAAGAATGGCGTTTATCTTTTTTGAGAATTAGTTATTTTATTTATTTGGGTCTACAGATGATACAAATGTTTGTGTCGGTAAATGTGTGGCGGGGGTGTTTGTGAAAATAACGGGACAGAGCTGGCTGCTGTCAGACGATCAGCTGTGCAGCGTCATCAAACGGACGTCGCTTCACGTGACGCTCCGGAGGAAAGGACGTCCCATTGCTCTTAAAAACTAATTTCCCTGCTTCTCGTGGTTTCCTTGAGTCTCTCCATGCTTCCCTGGTGGGAGGGACTTGTCGCAGGGAAACGACGCAAGGATTTCATTTAACCAAAGTGAGATGCAGCCAATAGGCTTGTTTGAGACGAGCTGCGGCTCGCCTCGAAAGTAGACGAGAATAGCCAATCGCATGCAATGTCATCGAGTGCCGCCGAAGGACTGTTCCAATCTCCAGCATACTTGAATTCCACCGAGGCCGCGTCCTTGGTTTGGGGGAAATGTCGAGGCTGCACATGGGTAGACTTCGCGTCCTTAAAATCCCCACAATGCTTTGCGCATGGACCAATTTCCCCAAATCTGTGGCGGAAGATGTAAGGCGGGGCCTCTCCTATGACGCACACCTGCTAGCCTGTTCCACTCTTCGTTTTCCGAATGCCAGGAAGTATTCTTGCCTTGCTTCTGAAGCAAGATGCTCGGCTCGGCTGTGCTACCAAGCCAGCATCCTCGTGATTGAGAAACGGGGTGTTTCTCAATCGCGAGTATGCTTGCTTGGTAGCACATTCTAAAAAGTAGAGGTTATACGTATAGCTATGTTCGGACTATACAGACATATCACATATTTTCAAATAGATTCCTCTGGCTGATTTTGAAACAGGGACATTGGGGCTGATGTTTGGATATTTTACACGACACTCACTGTAAAGCAGACAATGACAGTCCTACAAATCATTGAGTTCTGGCTAGCCAACTTAACACATTACAAAAACGTAGCTTTGAAAAGGCAAAGAAAAGCCAGCCTACCGAGTGTATCTAGTTCTACACTTGACACAATGAAAAGACTGAAGCCATAATAGACAGCCTGATCCCTGCTGCACCAGAAGACAGCTTCCTTCAGAACCATCAACACAGGTTTACTTTACCATGTCCCACACACTGCTGCCACTAACACTATCAGTACCAGATGTGGAACAACAGTCCAGAAGGAACCAGGACCTGTTTAGATGTAGCACCTCATTTAAGACACTCAACTTTTAGACTCACAAATCAGACCAGACAACAGAGTTGATGCTAGAGCATATATTTGAATATGTGTACACGATACAAACATTCAGACATTTCACAGTTGTTTATACAGGACAATCATCTCCTGTAGATAAGGTAGGCAATTCCTTTAGGACATTTAAACCCAATGTTTAAGTCCTGTTCACAGCCTCAGTGCTGGACCATGGGGGGCCGGCAGGTGGACTGACGCCATCACACTGAAACACAAAGCACAGTATCAGCAGACAGCCTGCAGAAATAGTTTAATGTAAAACATTACAGAAGTTTGTATCAGGTCTTAAGTCAGGCTCTAGTAAATTGTTTTCACTGAATCTGTGCCAAAGTCCTGAGCTTTCTCTTCCAATGTTAAAATTCGACAGCAGAGATGAAGGCTCTGCCATGAGAGTACACATTGGTTTACAGTACACACTGATACTGAGCTGCACTTACTATCCAGGCTTAGTCCAGTCAGGTCCTGCTGCTCCTCAGAGAAGACTAGTGTTAGTCAAAGCAGCTCAGTGCTGTCCTCTGCTGACAGGACTTAAACTAATGTTTAAGTCCTGTTCACAGCCTCAGTGCTGGAGCACTGGGGGGGGCGGCGGCAGGTGGACTGACGCCATCACACTGAAACACAAAGCACAGTATCAGCAGACAGCCTGCAGAAATAGTTTAGTGTACAACATTACAGAAGTTTGTATCAGGTCTTAAGTCAGGCTCTAGTAAATTGTTTTCACTGAATCTGTGCCAAAGTCCTGAGCTTTCTCTTCCAATGTTAAAATTCCACAGCAGAGATGAAGGCTCTGCCATGGCAGTACACACTGGTTTACAGTACACACACTGATACTGAGCTGCACTTACTATCCAGGCTTAGTCCAGTCCAAGTCAGGTCCTGCTGCTCCTCGGGCTCCTGAGAGAAGAAGAGTGTTAGTCGAAGCAGCTCAGTGCTGTCCTCTGCTGACAGAGGGCTGCTATGCTCAGGGTTAATGGTTCACCATGGTTTTGTCTGCATGATGTGTTACATTGTTAGTCATCATTGCATGAGACTCAGTTCAATATTTTGAACAGGTTCAGTCACTCACCTTCAGTCAGCAGCATGATGCGAGCCCCTCACTGAGCAGCCTCTAGGGGCTCCACCTGCAACACAAAGGAAACAAGTCTTTAACTAATGATGTAAATTAGTTCAGATCAATTTATCCAATTAAAATATAAAGCGTGCAAAGTACAGTGTTTTGCAGCTTGACCATTGAGCCATGTTTACTGCAATTTATAGTTCATATATATATCTGCATTTTTAACTCTTAAATGGGACTTGAACAGCACCCGAGTGGTGTGTCAGTATGAGGGTGTGCGGCCCCGCACTAGGCCGGCCCTGCGTGAGTGCAGGACAGGCCACTCTCGTGGGGCCCGGCTCTGCAGCCGCTCAGCAGCAACAGCCTCTAAAACAGAGTCTGCGCACTGAGAGCAGCACAGAGCCTTTCTCTGCCAGCACTGTAACACCGAGGCAGACACACAGCCTGTCAGCTGACTTAGTGCTGGGGGGTGACACCATGAAGTGATGATGAATCAGTGTTTACCTGCAGTCCCAGAGGCAGCACCGTCAGCAGCTCCATCCCAGAGCTGCCACTTGGACATGGTTGTAGGTCAAGATGTGGGCATGTCTGCAAGGGAAACATCAGTATCACTTGGTGCCCAATGATGAAGGCCACAGTAGTGGAGAGATGATAGCAGCTCATTATTTTACATTCTAAAAAAGGAGTCTGAGTTTAGAGTTGGTATGATTTCTGGCAGCATATGCTGATGGCAAATGAGCAGAGCTGCAAGTCCCGACTACACACGGCTGTTTTAAGCAGATATATCTGTCTGTTAAGCTAAGGTGTTCAGTTTTTAAACAAACTAAAAATTGTTAACGTGTATATAAATAATATTACATAAGCCGCGTTCACACCGGAGTACTTTCACCGTACTTTTCGCGTTTTAGTTCCGTGAGTCGCGTTCACACCAAAAATCGTACTTAATCTCGGGTACTTTTACCCCCATTTTTAGAGCCAACTCAGAGAGCGTACTTTTCTGTGGGTGAAAAGTGCTCCAAAAGTGCCCCAGTGCTGATTGGCTGGGCGAATTGCAAACCACGCCCGTACAACTCTGAAAATGTTGTGTAGAGCCGCCATTGTTTTTCCTCGCTACAAAAACACAACGCTCCGTGCGTTGTGTTTGTTTTTGAAAGCAGTTATGGCAAGCATCAAGAAATGATGATGAGGAGGTGTCGGCGCTTCTGGAGATCTACGCAGAGGACGCGACCCAGGGAATGCACTGAAGCCAGTTCAGTAGCTTTCACTCGACCTGGGAATGTGCACAGCCCCACGGCTAAAAATAAAGAAACTCGGGCAGGACTACAAACGGCGGATTCAGTGGCCAACGATGACGACCACGACGAAGGTAAAATCAACTACATGCACTGGGGTTTTAATCTGCACAATAATGGTCTCAGATGTACTTTTATTTGCTCAGTAGATCAAGCTAGCCATGCTAGCCATAATAGGCTAACACCGGCCCCGAGCACACACACACTGTAACTTTGTCTTGAAAGAACGTTGCGCATCGAACTGATGTTCACAATCATGTTTATTTCATAATATTCATCATATTTTATGTTTAACTTGCCTCAACAACATTAAACAAAGTTCAAGCATACATGAAGCACTCTTCAAAAAGGAACAATCCTCCGTGTTTGAACCTCTTAAATCGCTGCATAGCCGATTTATTTGGACTGGATTATCCCAGAGGGTCTAAACATTCTTTATAACACAGTTTCAGATTTGTGAAACCTTAATTCTATTTGTGAAAATACCAAAAACACATTCCTAGTATGTTGTAAAACTACATGGCGACTAAACTTGTATATTGCTTATTTTCCCCTCTTAGGAAAGCGGACACGGGATGCGAATTTCTTTGACACCGCCCAGGCGTTGGAGGACCGGCGTGCCGTGGTGAATGAGTCGCTGCGTGGAGATCAGATGGTGCTGTTCACCAAGGCCCAGGAAACGGAGGACAAGATGCTCACCTCGATGGAGCGCCAGGCAGAAGTGTTCAAGCAGCAGATGGAGCGCCAGCAGCACCAGGATGAAGTGTGGGCGCTGCGCCATGAGGAAGCGTCGGCGCAGCGGCAGGATGAGCGACAAACTGCATTTAATAACAGTTTATTTGGTATAGTTTTTGTAAATACTGACACACGACACACAACGTTGCACTAAGGTGTGCATGCTGCTGAGAATATCCCTACACCTGGGACAGTTTATTTTATATTGTTATGACTTTATTTTATATATAATGTTTACTGACATGTACAACTGACACTTTATTTACATTTAAAATTGTTCTATTTAATGTTATGTCTTGAGAGTGCAATAAAGAAAACCGACATGGCGATTAAGCTTATTTCTCCTGACACTTTATCTTTTGTGACCTGTGTAGCATCCTATACATCACATGTAAGTGATTATTCTGATACCATCATGTTTCATCGGTTATAAACTGGCAAAGCTTTATTTGTCATTTATTTATCATCAATGTTGCAACCTTGTGGGGGAATGGCAGGGGCACATACACAAATATGACAATTTATATCATTTTAAATATTATTTGACCTAAACTTTTAATTCCCCCCCATTTCACACAACACAACATGGAGTCCACTATGGGCCAAAACTAACATGTATGTTTGCATAGTGTTTATGGCAGACGGATGCAGTGGGTCTCAGGAAGATATATAATAAAGGTGGGTTTGCTGCTGAGACTCCCTACAGCTGGGAGTTTATTTTATATTGTTATTACTGTTATTATATAGTACAACTGACACTTTATTTTATATTGACAATGTTTACTGACATGTACAACTGACACTTTAGTTACATTTAAAATATTTCTATTTAATGTTATGTCTTGAGAGTGCAATAAAGAAAACCGACATGGCGATTAAACAGATCCTGTATCAGTTTTTCTTCTTCTCTTGTTTTGTAGCGGGTTGCAAACAACTTTAAGGTGCTTACCGCCACCTACTGTACTTGTAATCTTCCCTCAGGGAAAAGTACTCCGGTGTGAACGCGATCTGTACTAAGTACCCTGGGGTTAAAAGCGCCAGGGCTCTAATGGCGCATTTCCATTGCAGCGCGTAGCTCGCTTTAAGCGTGCCGTGTCGTGCCGTCCCCTTTTTTGGTTGTGCTTCCACTAGGCCTCGTTCCGGCGCGGCACGGCGCGGGGCCACTTTTTCCCCTCTTTTCTGGCCCTAGAAAATTGTGGTTCTATCGGGGCCAACAAACAGGGCTGAGTCGGGCTGAGTATGCTAAACTAGAGAGGAGCGCTGGCAAGAGGGCTAGAACTACAACAAGATGGACATATTTGACCGTGATTTAATTGTAATACACGTTTCAAAATGATGCCGAAGTAACAACATACTGATACCGGTTAGTAAAACCATGAATTAATGCTTTGTCAAGTCTGCAGACAGACGGCAGGCGAAAAACCTTTTAAAATTCGTGTTTTTCTAGATGGAGATTGGCTAAGCTAACGCAGTATATGCCCCGACCGTCCACACTCACAACAACGGCCTATACAGACATAAATACAGCAGCGACTGTATTCACCATGACACAGGCAGTCTGTGGTGTGTACTTGTTTAACTTTTGTCGAGTTTCTGAACATATATAAGGAGCTGTGAGCTCTGAGTGCTCACAGCTAACGGCTGTGTTGTGTTTCTGGATTTCTCATTGAAGATGACGTCACGGCTCCGCCTACACTGCGTTACTATAGTAACTACCCCAGTTCCTAAACTGTAATGGAAGCGCAGCATGAAGTGAGTCGGCCCTGTTAAGGCCCAACGCGGCCAAGCCGTACCGAGCCGTACCGAGTGTGGCCGAGGCCGACCGTGTAGTGGAAATGCGCCATTAGTGCCGGAACTAAGTACAGGAAAGTACTTGGTGTGAACGCGGCTCTTGTCTCTACATTAACACAATTAAAGGATTAGCCTGCTTTACCACATTTAAATATTCCCGATGATGCTTTAGCATAGGTTTACACGACGCATACTCAATGCAGTTCCATTTAAAATCGGTACATTTGCAGAGCATGGTGAAGTTCAAGACATACACACCTGTTTTGAGCCCACGGAGCGAGCGCTGTCATGTGATTTTCATCGTCAATATGCCTATAATGAGAAAAACAACAGATTAAACACATAGCCAACAAAATAAAAAGCAGTACAAAATATTAAGCTACTTTACTCTCTACTCACTGAAACTGCAGCATTGATCTACCCTAATGATATGAATTGGAACGTGCGCTCTGCACTGAAACAGTTTACTGAAGACTAATTTAAGACGGAATTGAAGTACTGTGCCTGCACCGACACCAGAGGGCGCCATAACTGGCAAACTTGAGTGTTTACCACTGTGCCCAAACAAGCCATTTTTTATATATACACACCACATGTAGGACTTATTTCCTGAATAATTCTTAATTTAAAAAAAAAAAAAAAAAGTTTCATGTTCTGAGAAATGATGCACTATGCATATAATTACCTTCAAACTATTCTGAGAAAAACGAATTGATCAGCAGAACTGACCGATTTTTAAGGTGTGCTTAGAGCAATTCAAAATGGAAACTAAAACGATGGTAGCAGCTACCATTAAAATAAAGCTCGTGTTTGACTGAAACACGTGTTCATGTTGTAACGTGGAGCCAGCAGCAGTCCTTATTTAACTCACGTGCTTGTGTTTGCACTTCAGTGTGGCTTTTTGAAGTAGTAACATAACTAGCTATTAATGACGGACAAATAGATCACATGCACGCGTCCTTTTGCAATGAAATGCCCAACTTTAACTGCGTCACACTACGCTAACTGCTCACTCTGTAGTGCTGATTGCTGATGTAACTACAGCCAACAGCGGGAGTTCTAACAGTTTCCAAACCAAACACGTGTTCAATAAGTACTCACGTCAGCAGACACCAGCTAGGGCTCGTCCGCAGAGCAAAGTTCTTCACCAGACTGAGAGACTGAGCGGAAGTCTCGCTGAGACTTATATAGGGCTTATGCCGCGGTGCATTTTGGGAGGGGAGGGGAAGCTCGCCCAAAGATCGTCTTTTGAGCAGAGCTACCACTAGGCTGTCCTCCTCTTAACAACAAAACATCTTACAGAACTCCAATTATTTCTCCAAATAATTTTACGCTACATTTGAAATAAAATGTAGCATTGAATAGAATTCCTTTATTGTAATTTTACAAGTACAACATTGCATTGCTTTTTATATTTTGTAATGTATTTGGAAAAATAATTGGAGTTCTGTCATTTATTTCCAACTCATTAGTTCAGAAAAATATTATGTGATTGATAATGATTAATAGTAGTTGAATAACTTGCCGTAATGACTTTTTCCTTCACTGAAAGATTATGCAGAGGATTCTGACGATTTGTTAATTTGTGATAACTTCTGTATATTTATCTGAAAATGTTATATTGACCAGGGAATTTAACATGTGGCCACACACAGCTCCAACACCATCGTGAAGTTTGCTGATGACACGACCGTCATCGGCTAGATCACAGACGATGATGAGACGGCGTACAGAGAGGTCGAAAACCTGACATCTTGGTGCCAGGATAACAACCTCCATCTCAACATCAGCAAAACAAAGGAGCTGATTGTGGATTACAGGAAGCAGCCATGGATGTATAATAAGAACTGGATACAGCGTGGGAGGCGGGGCCTCATTCATTCCTATGAGAGTTGCTCAATCGCGCATGATGACAAAATGGCCCAACTTTTGAGAGAGCGAAACGTCACAGATTACCCGGCATGCCTGAGAAGTACCCGTATGTGCGCTCATAGCGCATGCGCAACTTTAAACATGCCCCCCCAAAATGCTCGTTCACATCAAGCACGTCAATTTGCGTACACGTAACAGCACCGCGCGTTCATGACAGCATGGTAATGGGTTGTTATGATGGATTTGATATTAACGACGAGGCGGCAGTTAGCAGCTAGCGGCTAGCTAGTAATTATGCTAATTTACACATCAGTCGTTATGTACTTTTATATTACGCTGATGTAACAGGATCTAGTGATATCCAAGCAACAGAGCTTAATTTAGCATGATACTTGTGTGGGTTGTAGCCTACATGAAACCACTTGGTAATATATAAAAATATATGTATTTTGAGTTATGATCAATTGTGATTTAAATCTTTATCATTGTTCATTGTATATGTAAGTTATTTATATGTATGTAAGTTTTGTCTCGTGTGTATGTACTGTTTGTGATCGTTGTTGTGTCCTCACTCGTGGCCTGCACCTTGACGTGGTGAGTGGGCTTTAAACTAAGACAGGCCATTTATGTTTGAAATATCATGCTAACAAACCTGCAATTACAGAATTGAATGATAGTGGTTATATATGTTCATGTCTTGCTGACATTATTTGTTATCCTTTTCCGCATAGCCTCTCAGATGGATTCCTGTTTCATCTGTTGGTGTGCCACTGTCCAGTGTCTGCCGGCTGGCTCCCTCTCAGAAAAGTGCCATCTTCTGTCAACAGGAAGAACTGAGCCTCCCAACCAGCATTCTGACCATGAGTCTGACTCACTAAATGAAGCTCAGCGCAAGTTCTTTCAGGAAGACTGGGTATGTATACATTCACTCCGCAGCTGCTTATAATCAGCTCATCACAGGCGTTCTCTTTAACCTATTACATTCACCTCATTCTCCAGCAGCCAATCACCGAGCTGCAGCCAAACTTTAAAATGGTTCTCCTCTCTCCTGCAGTCAGCTGTGATTTCAGGTGTTCATGCTGCCGCCCGCCTCCTCCCCATCCACCTCCTCCCCATCCACCTCTTCTCCACCCACCTCCGTTCATCATATCCAGAGCCAGGAGAGCTAATCCAAAGACCTCATCACACCTCCTCTTCATCCCATCTCCTCATCAAATCCAGATCTTCATCATCATCACCAGTGTCTAGACCCCGGGGAGGTTCCCTATATGCTCACGGCTGCATTTCCCCCTTTAGATATAAGATTTCAGGATCGGGGTCTAATCGCCAAAGACTTAACATTTATCATATGACATGTGTCAATAAATGTTCTTTAAACAAAATGAAGTCTCTCCTGATTTAACTGTCTGGACCCCATCCTCAACTTTTTTTCAAACCACAACATGCCTTCAGAGGGCTTTCCTGTTGATCATAATTGGTGGATCTTTTAATCTAATAATTGCAATCAATATTATATATATTACCTTTTGATCTATATAAATTGTATTTACATTTGTTGTCACTATTTTTTCCACCTAGTTCTACAATGCCAGCCATAAGAGGTATACATTTCTTATTTTTGTGAATTTCTATATAAAATGCTGATTTTCTACCTGAAAATGCTTATGTATTTTTAATTACATTTTCGTAGAGCTTTGACTTTTTCAGCTGAATAAATATTATAACTAGATGGTTTTGTTCAGCATTGCCAGCTTCACTTTTGAGCTTTATGTTGTGCCCAGCATTCTCCTGTGCTCTGAAATCAAAATGTGGATAAGCATAACACAACACTAAAATAAACACTACAATACAACTTGTTATTTGACACACACAAGGTTGTTCATTTGTGTGTATAAATATAAAACACAGGCTATATATATATATATATATATATATATATATATATATATATATATATATATACATATACAAGTATAATTAATACAACTGTTAATTTGATTAGAGCTTTGACACATATATCTTTATTTATATATGTATAAGTATGACGACTTCCTCGGGCGATATCATGGTATAGCTAATTAATCTGGGTCAAAACGTGTTGTGCCCACATGCAAAGGTTTGTAAACTCTGGTTATCCCTGCGTGGTATTATAGTAATAGCAAACAGCAACGTTCAACTCCTTTAATGGTATATTGCAAGTGCAATAAGAAGCTACAGGGACGTTAATCTACGTCGGTAATATTAACTTTATTTAATACAAGATTTACATCATACAGCCCATGTAGTATAATATTTTACAAATGATGAATTACAGCAAACATGTGCAATATATCCATTATTACAGCTCCGTGGGCTGGCAGTAAGGCGATATGGGTCCGTTCTTATCCATGGGTAAAGATAAACTCATGTGGTGCTGAACACGTCACATCACATGAACGTGCCGGGCGGCGCGGTCCCGTGGGTTAGATGCGCGTTCATAATACAGAGGGAAATAACTCTCAGAATAACGTTATTAGCACATTTTTACAACTTGAGGAACGAATGTTTTTAATAAGGGCTATACAAGTGTTCATACTGGGTAGTTTATTTAGTTTAAAAAAAATTATCCAACGAGTTACAGACCACTCTTTCCCCATGTAAGTCAATGGGAAAAAGTGTTTCCGGGCCTGGCAACCAAAAGGAAGTGTAGTACCGCCGTTTGGCCAGCACGAATATTTTCATCAGAGTCCGGCGCACTTCCTGGGGGCTTGGAAGCAGCAGGGAGAGGGACACGCCCCCATCGCCATCAATGGGACTACGGTGGAGAGAGTCAGCAGCTTCAGGTTCCTTGGGGTCCACATCACTGAGGACCTGACATGGACTCTTCACACCACCACCATCACCAAGAAAGCTCGACAGCGGCTCTTCTTCCTCCGCAGGCTGAGGAGGTTCAAAATGGATTCCAGGATACTCTGCAACTTCTACAGGTGCACGATAGAGAGTATCCTGACTGGCTGCATCACGGCCTGGTACGGCAGCTGCACCGACCTCAATCGTAAGGCTTTACAGAGGGTGGTGAAAACTGCACAGCACATCACCAGGACGGAGCTGCCATCCATGGAGGACCTTTACTCCCAGCGGCTCAGGAAGAAATCACTACGGATTATCAAAGACCCCCATCACCCCAGCCACAAACTGTTCTTTCTGTTGCCGTCTGGCAGACGTTACCGCAGCATCCTGGCAAAGACAAGAAGATTCGGAGACAGTTGCTTCCCGCGGGCAGTGAAACTGTTAAACAATTGAACTGCTGAAACAACTTCAAAAACATTTATCTGCTACTCAGTAATATGTATCTAATATCTAATATATATCATTCCAATAACTTGTATATAGACTCGTACTGCACTATTCCACATGCTCACTTTATTTTATAACAATTTTTCTTTTTGTATTGCTCTTGCTATCTGTATTGTTATTATGTTGCATTGTTGGAGAAGCCTGTGACATAAGATTTTCAACAACATAATTACTCTGTAGCTATGTCAGTTTGACAATAAAGAACCTTGAACCTTGAACCTTGATTAAATGAAATATGCTTTTCAAAATATCCAAAATATTATATTATTACACAACATTCGGCTAATGTTTCTTAGAATCAAAGCATTGTGTCACAGAATGGAAGACAAAGGTAACTTTTTTCCTGCTTTATGTCAGATCTTGTTTGTTACATCACATCCAGAAAATTACAAAGATACCTGATGAACAGTAAAGGAAACAAAGGAGCAAAAGGTCATAGCCAATGAAGATGGCAAAGACTTTAACATGTTGGGATAAAAACGTTTTCAAGAGTTCTATACCTAGAAATATTATGGTCGCAAAAATCAGTGTTAATTGTCCCCTACCTACTTAAAATAATTTCAACACACTTGTTTGTAAAGACTAGTACAGGTAACATTTACTTCAGGATGCTTTAGTATCCTCTCAAAGCAATTAAGCACAATATCATTTATTTGTACTTACAACAAGACTCACTAGACTTCAAATCTAAATATTAGGTAAGGTCTGCAGTTTCTGCAGTGTGGGTAATGTAGTCAGAAGGTCATCACAGCTGGAACAGTTGAGGTGTAGTTTGAAGAGTGCACATTCCTGAGAGAGAATATACATTTACTTTTAGCTCATGTATTTAGACGTTTTGTAAAGCTAATTAACACACACACAGACTTTTAATGCGACAACAATAGCAGCATTGCTAACTGACAATAACATTGACGTCGGACTATAAGACATTAAGCCTTCAGGATATCTTGAGAAAATGGAAAAAGGGGAAACAAAAAT